TGTTAGGTTCGACCTTAGGGGTATCTGAGGATCTCAAAACATTATGCAGAGACAGCATCTTATTTAACTATGCTGATGGATTTGCACAAGAGCCCAGTAACTACAAATCATGGTCATTTTACACTTTTGCTGACTGTTTTCCTTTCGCATATCCCCAGGCAGCCGTTGCTGTCCATTCAATTAAGTAAAGTGTTAAACTCCACTTGACTTGGCTGACATTCACCTGAAAAATAACCAATGTCCTTTTTCGCAATGGCCATGTTTGCGCATAGTCTGTTCTCATCGTTCAATTTCACTGCTACAAATCTCATGAAAAGAAAAACAACCAAGATGGTCCCTCTAAGCAGTGTTACACACTTATTTTCCCTTGTTAAGTTTATCTGCAGCAAACAGACTGCAAGGTCCATGTCAGGCCGGGGACAATTAATAATGTTGACCTGTTACCTGTTACCCAGATTAGCCAAAAACATATTTATTGCATGACTGTTTGACTATGCAGAGAAGTGTATTCTGGGAAGTGTAGTGTTAGGTTTCCCCCCCACGGTGTGACGCACACAGATGATGTGCAATGAGCAAGGAAGCACTTAGTGTATGTACTTACAAAAGGAAACACAGTTACAATCTCAAAAAAAAAAAAAAAACAGATAAAAAAGGAGAAAAGAGTAAGGCTGAGTTCAAGTTAATGGAGCCTGACCAAGCCAGTTTGCCTGTTTGGATTTGTGTGTGTGTGTGTGTGTGTGTGTGTGTGTGTGTGTGTGTGTGTGTGTGTGTGTGTGTGTGCGTGTGTGTGTGTGCGTGCGTGTGTGTGGGTGTGCGCGGGTGCGTGTGGGTGCGTGATTTTGATGTAATGCAAGGAGCTGTAGGAGAACAACAGACTTGTTGAGTTTACCAGCCCCACTGCCACGTCTGCAGTACTCCTCTGACTATGTAGGGGTCTCTCTTTTTCTCTTTGTCTGCCTGCCCTCATGGTTGTATGGACTGTTAAAACAAAAAGGAGCCATTTTCTCTTGTTCACACCTCTCTCTCTCTCTCTCTCTCTCTTCTTTCTTTATGGTTATGACACCTCACTCCGTCACATTCTCTCTCTCTCTCTCTCTCTCTTCCCCTCTCTCTCTCGCTCTCTGATGTCTGTATCTTCTCTCTATCTTTGGTCAATAAAGCTGAGTTTCTCCAGTGCCCCCCTGCCGTCTCTTGCTTGTTGTTCTTTCCATCTGTCTCTAACATTCACTTTTTCACTGGCTGCTGACAAAGAGATCACAAGCTCATCCTTACTGCATCCCTATCCCTATCTGTTATACTACCCACTGCCACTAACAAGCACACACACATCAAATGAGTTACCACACGCACGGTTTACACTTAAACTTAGGTGAGCGTTTTCAGCAGTCACATAAGAGTTGTTTGTCCAGGTTTTTCATGCAACTTTGTTGAAAGGATGTAAGGGTGAAGATAGGCTCAGCGCAATACACTGTAGGCCAATTAAACTGTTAATTAGGGCAGGTTTTACATTCATGCTATGCCCTCATAGGTTCACTTGCTCAGTTTCAAACCCAAAAAGAGCAATGAACGACAAATCTGGTCAGTTAAAGTCATCAGTCATTGTGAATGTGAAAAAGAGGCGTTTTATTGCACAAACAAACTGGAGTAAGACTAAAACCCCAGTCACAGTGAGTTAAAAATCAGAGCCATGTTTGCACAATTACTGCTTTGATTCACTAAGACCTTCCTTATTGAGCGTATCTTAATATGTAGACAGTATTAGATTCCTAATATTTACCAGATGTATATAGCACATAATGTAATACAAAAACATTAATGAAGTGCAAAAAACTGGCAAAAGAAAGAAGTGTTGTATTTTTCTTTATTATCGTAAAAAATTCAAATTATGAATTTAGATACATATAAATATGGTTGTATGGCCGATCTGGTAACAAATGAGGTGCTCTCACACAAGGATGAGAATGAGATTAAAGCCTTGAAAACAAACCGCAGGTAGTTCATCTCTCAAAATGGGTAAACTGCCACGCGGTATCAGTATTAAAGACCTGAATAAAGGGTGGCTGGATGCATTGCAAAGTATGCTCGTGAAAATATCGCTCTAATATTACTGCTACATTCCTGTAGGGACTCGTACTGTGTCTGCGGCATCTTATGAATTTACACAATGCAAAAGAATATGTATGATGACCATAGCAATGTAAAGGCTGTAAATAATTAAGAAGATATATAGCAGAGGAAGGGGGAGGTAGGGAGGTGGCTGGTGTTGAAGGAAAGAAAGTATGAAGAAAAGGTAGATAAATAGTATCTACAGTAGATGAATATAGTTGGATCAATCTAGACACTCCCATGCCCCTGTTTTGCAGGAGCCCTGGGGCGCCCCCTTGGTACCAATAGCAGGTACTGCGAGAAAATCATGCAACCGTTCACCTACAGTGTCACTGCATGCTCAGTCTTCTGACTTTACTGACACCACTGACAAGTTCACAGCTGACAACAGAGAGGACAAAAAAGACTGGTTGAGGTGGAGAAACCACACTGAGGCACTAACCATCCGTGTAACACTCCCATACATTTAAAAGCACACTGCATGAACATGGAAGTGGTCCCAGTTCTGTTCATGGACACTTCAGGAGCAGCACCCACGTGATAAGCAGTGTAAACACAATACACTAGCTTGTATGACTGGTACGGTACATTATCAAAGTATCCATCTTAAAGGAAAAAAAAGGAGTCATAGAGATTCCTTTTGAATGTAGCAGTTGTGCCACGTCATCTTTCCTTTGATATCTTAAATGACAAACTGGGTGTTTTTGTTCCCCTATAAACTCATGATGTGAGGAGTGCAGCCACACCAACATGACGCACATTACCCCAGAAGACATAACACAGGGTGATAAATGATTATATTAGCGATGTCATGACAATGAGAACAGGACTAGCATTTAGGCCACACATACACACACACACACACACACACACACACACACACACACACACACACACACACACACTCATACACAGGATGGGCGTGTTTTCTGTGTTAATAACCACTGATTGATTTACTTCTAGAAAATAATGGCCTGGTGTCTTTAACAGAAACCATGACTGAAGATAATTATTACACATTCTCACGCATGCACACACACACACACACACACACACACACACACACACACACACACATATGACAGGATGGTAATATGTCATCAAGAGTCGAAAACCTGTCACTATGAGCGTAGATCACAGCATATATGGACTTCCTGTACATACTCATCTATACTCATGTAGTTCAATAAAGGTACAATAGAATCAGAGTACAATAATAAGATGACGTCACAGCCGAGCAAGATTAAACATGACTTTGTGGTTTCTTCCTGTAAGTCAAACTTTACATTCAAAAAGCTGCAGGACATAAACAGTTAAAGCAGAAATTAAGAAACAGACATATTTTTTGAGGTAGTTGAAGAAGATGCTTAAATAATCAGCTTAATTATTAGATAATAATAATAATAAGAAGAAACAACATTACAATTTCCATAGGGTCCTCGCACCCTTTGGTGCTCGGGCCCTAATTATAATAACTTTAGTTATATAGCACTTTTCAAAACAACTGTTTGACAGTGATCCTGAATTTCGACATAAACTGTGCAATAAGAGAGAATAGGTTTAATTCACTACTACCACTGCTAATGCTACTAATACTGTTGCTACTATTACAGCTACTACTAATACCATTCCTATTTCTAATACTGTCACTAGTATTCCTACTACCAGAGCTGGAAGAACAATTCAGATTCTTTAAAAGCAGCAATAACACAATATAAAAATACCCATTAAGAGTACCTAGCATAAGAAAAAGCAATTATTATGCAGGAAGGCCTGTTTTAGAGTGCTATATATTATGTAGGATTATTGGATCATTGTTACTTGTGCGTTAATGTGTGAGCAGCATTCTACTGCTGGGTAGTTTCATCTGTAATATTTTATAAAGTGGTCATTTGTTTGTATTTAATATCAGCAAAGTACCTCGGAACTACAGTTAAACGTAAAAAGTAATAACATAATAGACTTGAAGTATAAAGTGGCATAAAATGGAAAGAGCCTGAGATGTTGCTGCTGCTACTTCGTCCTCAGCTTCTATTTCTACAGGTGCTGCTGCCATTCTACTGCGACTGATACAACAGTAGCAGCATAGTAGTAGAGGTATACAACAGTAATGACATTAGTATTAGCACTAGCAGTAGCAATAGTAAAGTACTACTGGTAGTGCTAGTCACAGCAGTAGTAGTTACAGTAGAAATCTGCTCTGACAGATTCATGTTCACATTTTTCTGTCCTGACATCAGTGTTGTTACTTCAGCTGCAGTGAGTGTGAGTGTCAGGAGGTTGAGGATAATGAAATACGAAATCAGATGAACTTGACTCCTCAAAGTAGAACTGGGTCAGTGAATCAGCTAAGAATAAGTCAAAAAAAGATAAAAATACAGCCAGAGTGCTGTGTCAAGCACATACAAATGATCTTCTTAGATTAAAGAGAATTCTCACTATGATGGAAACTGAATAACAGATTTACAGATTGAAAATCCACCACTAAAGCGTATGTGCAGTCTGTGCAAATAAGGATCATAAGCTTAATCTATCATATGTACAGGTCGTATTTACAGGTCAAATGCATGCTTGCGTCATTAGCTTTTCACAGTGTCAGATTTGCATATGGAAGACAGATGGATTTTCATGTTTTCTCTTCATTTTCAGGATCACATATTCCATCTGTTGGGGTCTATAAACTTTTCAAAACCAGATAACAAGCCAGTGTGGGCTGTTTTTCTTATTTCATAGAAACACAATATTACATGCTCTTTACTTGACAACAATACATTACAATGTTCATAAACAAAGGCAGTGCAAGGTCCGCCCACAGGTACAAATCAATATGAAAGATGATGATCAATACCAAAGATGACAGCAGTAACAATAACTCACATTTTGCTTTATCACAGGCTACAGCCAAACACCAGATGTTACCGTGACAACCACAAATGGCTATCAAGCTCCCATTCCAACCAGACATCCTCACACTGCCATGGTGAGTATAGTGTATCTGTGTGACTGTGTTATATCTAGGGGTGCAATTACTTGTATCCAAAACTTTAAAGTCACGACTACGGACAGGGTAAGAGTTTCTACATGACATTCCTTACATCATGTACTCACATACTTCGGACATCAAACCAGTAAGGGACTACACCAGGGCATTCTCTGCCAGGAAAACTTTCATGATGCAGTTATAAGCAAGACTATCTGTTCACCTTTTAACGGGGATTACAAGTGACACTTTCTATTTTTTGAAAATGGAGTGTGTACTATACGTGTGTCTATTTGTATATGTGTCAGGTCTGACCAATTTTTCTTTTACTTCAATGGGAAAAGTTGTTAAGCACAAATCATGGGAGGAACAAGACGACCACGCTCCTAAGTTAGGACTGGGAGTTCTTCTAATATAGATGTATGTTTGTGATAGCCTACATGTTTTTTTCTTTAATATCGCTATTGCTGTCTACATGTCGGCTGAGTACAGAACATTCAGGCTGATAATTTGAAAATGTGTTTATTCAACTAGGCAAGGTGGGTAGAGGGAAAGTGGACAAAGTCAAGAAACTAAATCCCAAAACAATTCCTGAAAATTCCTGAACATCACACATTGATGACATCCACATTAAAACACCCGAGGGTGGTTTTATCCTTGAGGTAGTAAAGAACTTCATTTGAAAATGTTTTTGCTTTAAGTGAGATAATCATTTGTTTTTTTTCCATCTGGAGTTCAGTTCACAATGAACTGTATGTGCTTCCATGTAGACTGTCTATGTTTGGAATGCTTTCGGTCGCATTGTTTCCTTTCTACAGCTGCATAGTTGTTCTGCAGTGTTGTTCTGAAGTGTACCACTACAGTGTTTCTTTAATATTTCTTATAGCCTATAAGAAATATTAAAGAAAAATTGTAGAGGGACATAAATATATTGTGGGTAAATATACAGTGGGTACCTCTAAGTTATATTACTGTATATTTATGGCACTCAGTAAATTTAATATGGCCTTACTGTACTCACATAGACTGTAACAAGTCTGTGGTACTAAATAGTAAATTCATAGTGACCTTACTGTACTTTGGGATAGGCATTTAAATCTACTATGGTATCAATTTGATGCAGTATTGTATTCCTACAGGGAGTTATATCTGATCATTCAGTGTGGTGGGTTTCAACTTTATGATGACTATGTTATTCCCATATAGTAGATTTTCTATTTTTTATATACCCCCATGTTTTTATGAAGTAGCCTGAAGTAATCCTTAAATTGTACTTAAGTACAGTACTTGGGAAAATGGAGCCTACCTTACCACCGCCGCCTATTCTGGAGTGTTCCGCTTTTGTTTCTCTGAAAACGCCACCTGAGCACATTTGAGAGCGGGGGTGCTAGAGTTGGAGGTGCACAGACAGAGGGGTGGGGAGACAGAGAGGTGGGGTTCAGAACCGAGGGGGCGGGGGCGGGGGGGCAGGTTGGCTGGGCTGCAGTCAGATTGTTTTGCAGCTGAATAAATGAATGAAAGGCAGTACGGAGGTAACCTGATCCGCGCGGGTCAGTCTCATTGTCCTTGGCTGCGGCTCGCTCTGGTGGCTCGCTCTCTGATTGTCTCTGGAACGGGACAGAAAGGACTCCCGGGACCTCGCGAGCCCTGCATTATTCAGCACGCGTGCCTAGAAAAAAAAAGAGAGAGATGGAGAGAGAGTGAGAGAGAGAGGGCAGAGGAAGAGGAGGAGAAAGAGGAGGAGGAGGAGGGAACCGCCGGTTGGAAAAGCTGGCGCGTAAAGGGAGCTCAATGTCATCCCAGTCAGAGGCTGCCGTCACCGTTATTACAACACGAGCATCCGTACCTCTCTCGTCCGTTTATTTCATTTAATGTTCCGCCGGCCTGTGGCTCAGCAGCTGCGGGTACCTCTTCGCCGTGCCCGTTGACGAAGAAGAAGAAGAAGACAAAGAGAAAAGAAGTAAAAGAAGTAGCAGTCAGCAGGTCGGTTACGCCTCTGCCGTTAGAAACTAATCCCGGTTATTAGCCGTTAAATAGTCTGTTGTAAGGAGCTCCCTGGGATTTACTACGCATCTTTCTTCACAAAGGTAGACTGAATCAAAAAGCATTGCTAAAAACATAACAGAGATGTATTTTAACGGAAGTTAGAGGGTGTGGGTGTGTGTGTGTGTGTGTGTGTGTGTGTGTGTGTGTGTGTCAGTTGTGCTCCATTGGACTTTATTTGCATGGTAACTGTGCTATTAGTTAAGTGTGTGTGCGTGCTTCTCTCTTTGTGAATGTGTTCTGGCTAATAGAAACAGAGCCTGTAATTACACTGATTGGCTTTAAAGTGGGGAGGACACTGGATACTGCACCTTCCTGTCCCGAGAGAGAGAGAGGCGTTCAAAGGAGGTCAGTGGACCAGACTGCTGCAGTAGTCTCTACTCCTCTCTCTCTGCCTCTCTGTGCTCCTCCTCCTCCTCTGCATCACTTTAACCTAGATATAGGAATGACCTTAACCTGGTTTTCATCATCCTCATATTGAATAGCTTGGCAGAGCCTCAGAGACGGTCTTGTTGTTGCTCCTTCTTGCCATATTCCTCACTCAAATCATTATGATGCTGTTTAACTGGATTTTCTCACACTGATTTTGTCCACTCTAGTTAGCCCTATTTTGGTTGTCATAATGGCTCATTATCTAGTAGCTATACATTTAAAATGCCTAGTAAGCTGTGGTAGTATTTCATAGACTGACATACAGTTAACATACTGCTGCTCTTGTAAAAACCCTTCATAAAACCTCAACAAAGGTCAACACAGTTTCAGCCATGTCCCTGCCAATAAGCACTCATTGGTTGCACTATGGGTGCTAACTGTATATATATATGAACTTTTTAAAAAGGTGGTTAAAAGCGAAGGCAGTCACAAATGTGCTGGCGTGTCACAGAGTAGCAGCCGATCAAACCAAAGAGAGATCTGGCACACGTTCAGAACAAACCACCTGAAGCCAGACTTCATTTGTTTGCTCTAGATTTTCATGTGGTGCTGAATTTTTGATCTTTTTCTTTGCCTGTAGCTGTTGCCAGGCAACTTGATTTTTTTTTGATAGCAGAGTTTAACATTGTTCATGTTCAACTCAGGATGGGCATTTCCATGCTGAAAGTAATCAGCTGCTTGGTGTTTTATTGTCCTCTTGCTACTGGATAAACACATCAGAAGTGCTTTTTTTAATTAAGACAAATTATCTTAATTAGAGGTTAAATGTGACTATCTTTAACATCAGTCCATTGTGACCACTTATCCTAAACATTCACATTCATAGTATGGAAATATTATGGTTAAATATCCTCATCGAATACTGTTTTTTGTTAAAAATGAATCTTAAAGCTGTTGTCAAAATAACCTTAGATTAAGAAGCTGCTGGGGAAAAAACTACTCGACTCAGTTTCAATCTTGCTCATTGATTTTACTTAACTGTAGACTTACTGACGTTTTGCTTGAGTGCAGCTGACCAGTCCTATACAGAAGAGGCAATGAAGACTCCAGAGATCAAGCATTTCTCTTTGAACAGTCTTGCAGTGTTCCTTTCCAGCTCGTCTTGGACAACTTTAATTTATTTTGCATCCATTTTACACTGCAGTGCCCATAAGGCAGGCAAACACAGCCACCTGGCAAGAGGAAGCAAAGAGCAAAAGGCGACATTAAATCAGTCTAAAAAAAGCAGCTTCAGATCAGTTTTCATCCACAGCTTTTCATTACAGAATGAGAAATTTGATAAGGATTTTTGGAGTATCCACTTGATGCAATAAACCTTATTAGGGAGAAAGAATCCACTGATGAGTTTCTAATTAGATTTGATCAATAAGATTCAAAACTTAGGGGTAAACAAAGTCATGATGGCGGTTTCAGTCTGTTTTTATGGCCCGCTCTCTATTTAGAAAAGCTCATCAGCCTTGTTCGCTGTTTTGTTTGGTCACCATTTGAAATTGCCAGCTGATTCTGGAAATAACGAAGCGAAGAAACAAACTGCCAATTCAGACAGACTGTTTGCCAATACCTCTGCTAGGCCTGGGGACAGAAAAATCACAGCCAGCTCTCTAATTTGATTGGATGGTTGATGACAGGAGGTACCTGCCACATACTGAATGTCCTATTGAGATGGTCAGCGCCTATTAGTGTAGCTCAAGGTTTCTACTGTGTGTGTGTGTCTCATAGAAGTAGATGTTCCATTCCCACCCTCTCAGCAGCATATAGTGTGAGAACATTGACAGGAACAACAAAGTTATCAATGATGTCTTCTTCCTATAAACCACTCCCTCTTCCCAGAAAGCACACACACACACATATGCACACACAAAGCGTATAATCATAGGTTACATAACAGCTGTGTGGTTGATGATGCTAAAGCTTCAGCTGCGCCAAGAGTACACAGGAGGTGGAAATGAGAATGAGATACTGAAGGAGGGGCGGGATGAGAGAGACCGACGTGATGACAAGGGACTGTAGGTACAAGGAGAGATAAAGGGCGGTGCAGGTGTGTGTGTGTGTGTTTGTGTGTGTGTTGGGGGTAGCTTGAGTAATGAATGTAAGGCAAGTGAGGAAAACGTGAGGGAGTAAGGGAGGGAAGGAGGAGGAGGAGGAGGATGCTTGTAGGAAGTCTGTTCAGCCTCACACAACTCGAAGTGCTGTTGACATTAACCGGCCGATGGCCTTTCAATGGCTGATCTGTTGATGGGCCTCCACTGGCTGACTTCCAGGAAGAGAGTGATATTCCACCTTGTGTTACTGGATGAAGTCCCAAACCGAACAGTCAAATCAGCGCTGTTCAGACCGACACTAATGTCACTGATACTCGGTTATGGTATCTTTTGAGTTGTCTCACACTGTGGATGATATACAATATGCCGTCACTAATGTGTGTGTTATCAGCTGACAGTGAGTGGATAACATGAATAGGAAAGAAAACATGTGGCTTGGGTGTTTGTTGTCTGTTGGAAATCATGTGAGTGCCCCTCGAGCCA